ATGGTGAAGAAATGATCTGTTGATAAAATTTTGGATTAACCAATTAATAATTGGACAGCAAAAACTAAAACTGTGTTGTGACTGCTGCAGAAATAACAGGGGTTAAGATTCAATTCACATCCATTAATTTGTTTAGTCTTTGGTATTTTTTATATGCAATTAAAACAAAAAAAAAATCTCAATCTCAATCAAGTCAAGAGACTGAAATAATGTTAGCACCCAAACTAATCAGCGACTAAAAATCAGCAGTAAAATGATTGTAATTCACTTGAAACGCTATGGTGCATGCGTCTTGAATGCAGCATTTCTAATATTGTAATGTACTTTCAATTGACAAGTCTCATAATAATATTGTTGGTAACATGAACAGAATATTGGCTTTGACTTCAGTTTTTAATACTGTATCTTTTTGTTGTACTGTAGCAGAGAAAGGAATGGATGAGTGCAACGGTCAACACTGGCCGTGTCATTCCTGCCACTTGAGGCTCCACTTCCAGGTTTTATTGCTTTCTTAGGAGTCTTAATGGTATGGACACCTCCATATTTGTCTGGTCTTCAGTGTCCCCAACACTCCACCCACAGCAATTAATGTGCACAAATCAGCTGATGGTGGACATCCATAAATCTAGAATCAAATGCAAAATCAAAAACCTCCTGAGCGGTGGCGCCTGATCTGTGGAACAGGCTGCCTGGCACCTCAAGGAAAGGCTAGTGTATCTTTTAACAAACCTAAAGAAAACACTTCTGTGGTCAGAGGTGGAAAGACACAAAGTCATATCTTACTTATTTGGGGAAGCAGAATGTAAAGCGTCAGTGATGCAAGGCTTTCACAGCTTTCAGTGTAGAAATACGAACAAAACAAGAAACAAGACGAGTTCGTTCATTACCTTGACTTTGACTTTAAACCTCCGTCATCGTCAGATCGTTTCCCTTCCTCCACGACTTTGAGGTTCTGCAGAGGAATCACTTCAGCATTCCCATACTCTGTGAACGTAACGGCCGCAGTGCCGTTCTCTCTGTCTATCTCCTCAATCTCAGCTTCATACACCCTGTCAAAAGATCACGTCTGTAAGCAGGTGAGTATGAGCCAAAGACTCAAGGTCTACTTAATAGGCAACGTTCAATAATTGCTCAGTAAGTACGAAATAATTCCATTTCAATGTTACAAACTCTAATTTCAATTTTAGAAGAAAAACTGCATTTTTTTTTTAAATATCTCCAAACCATATACTTGTACACAGTTAAAAAGACACAAACTCTATAAAACAACAATGCGTTTCCTCAAGTTACATAAGAAGAATGGAAAACATCATTATATGAAATGAATAAAATGCAACTGAATGTCAAAATACAGTTTTGAGGATATTCACTCTGACTTAAGGTTTCTGAAATGTTACGATTACGATTCGTCTTCATCAGTTACCATTTACGGAACAGAACTATGAATAAAAATATTTTTGTGCATCCAATGAAGAAGGTGCTGCTTTATGGTGACACACATTACACTGGTGAGTCATTTGTTTATTTTAAAAGGATGTTGAAACTCACTGGCCATCGTGGCTCCATGCTGCCAAACATTTTTCACCCACTTTCCAGCTTTTCTTCACTGGCACCGACTCTGAGCCGCTGGTGCTGGAAGACCCATCAACGGGCTGCGAACTCAGGAGATCTTTAGTCAGATCGATGACTTCCTGCAAAAGAGCAAGAAAAAAAAAAAAGACAATAATTACAGGAACTAAGGTGCTCTTATTAGGTTAGGCAACATAATGACTTCCTACTTCCTCCCTTTCAAATGCTTCCATGTCATCAGTTATTTTTAGGGTTTCATGTTAATACAATTCACTACGTCTATAGACTTGATCAAACTTATTAGACAAAGGTAAGAGTGTGTATTCAGGTAAACCGGAGATTTCAAAAGTTATGGCTTAGAATCTGTTTAATTGTGTAAACCTACAGGTTTAAGTCATTTTAATGAGAGGTCACAGACGCTCCTGGATTTAGTGGAGTTTTCTGTGGCTGAAAAGAGAAAAGATCTCCCAACCTGTTGCTCTGTCAGGCAGTTAGTTGAAAGAGAGCAATTTTATACCATGAGATTGTCACACTGGCTCGTGTCTATATGCAATTTTAGATTCTATAAATATAAAAGCTTGGCAAGAGTTTCTCTTCAATTGGATTTCCTGCACTGTACACATTCCTGTCCTAGAAACTATGCATGTGTGGGGCTCACGTGATTATAGGGGAAAAATTTATTTACTTGCAAACTTCAACACAAATACTTATTACATATCAAAATCACAAAGAACTGCAGTAAATAAGTACCATCTAAAGCAGAAGGACATCAACATAGTTGTTTGTTCATTTACCAATCATTTGAACTTTATTGATTACATGCGTCACAGATTTTGTGTAGCCCTAATTTTTATTATACATTTGGTTATCTTATTGAAGGTACTTTGTCTTTTAAACCTATACAAAAAGAAGTTAGATTACACAAAAAGTAATGGTTTACACGCCAATAAAAAAACTGCCCAAAAGTGACAAATGCTTTGTAACTTTATTCGAAATTTCCTAATAAAACTAATGAAAAGGCATACTTTTTAAGATTAATTTACTTAGTTTTCCGGTGTTTTCAGTTTCATGTTATAAACGTACGGCAAATATGTATAATCTGCAAAAAACATAGTAGTAAAGAAAAAGTAATGGATGAAAAATATTGAAATTGTGGGAAGCAGGATGTAGAGAGCAAAGAATGTAGAACGAAAGGGAATAAGAATGGAAGGATAATGAACACAAGGGTTCATTATCATTGGGATGGATGGAGCCAGACAAGACCGCATATCAACAAACATGATGACCCACTGTATTCCTAGTAAAAAAACTTTTATAAATGCTACAGTGAAAACAATTTTCAGATGAAGGGAGAAAACAAACCTGCAAGTCCTTCTGAAGTTTTAGGAGGTCTTCATTATCTGGATCGGTTGATAAGGCAACTTCTACTTGCTGTAACTGAGCTTTATAGCTGCTCAACTGTTTCACCAGATCTTCCGACATTTGTGCGCTAAAAAACAAAAAGCAAAATGCGATGTTACCCAGTTTATTACGGGTAGCTGATAAGAGGGTGCAGTATAAAATACGTTTATGACTATACTACTAATCCCGCTTTATAAAAATCTGAATAAATTGATGTATAATGCGTCAACTAAAAAAATTAACGTTAGCACAGCGCTAACACTTAGCAAGGCCTTTTCTTCGACATACGTTTACCGTAACGAGGCTACATAAGCTAACAGCCACAGAGAAGAAACAACAAAAGACGGGCTAATTAGGTCTTACCTTTGTTCTAGAACCCTTGTCTAGCCAGCTGAACAATAAGTACGATTCAAAGTCGATTATTTTTCGTAAATAGCAGTTCTTATTTTTAAAATGTGCTCTTCTTCTGTCTATCTGTGAATAGCACACCGGAAACCAGTATAAATCCCATGCGATGATACGCTGTTCTAGAGGCTCATCAGCGCCCCTATCGGCTGGACATAGCATCTTCAGTCTCTCTTTGACTTTCGACTTAAAAACCAACCTTGTGCAGTCGCCACAACAATTTCCAATGAGCTTAAAGTTGTTTACTTATTCAGTTTTTGTCTTTTTAAACATGTAAAAGAGTACTTCTTAATCCCACCCCATAATAAAGTTATATATATTTAACTTCCCACAGCTCTTAAGCAAAAACGATGGCTGCACAGTTGGTTTCTAAGTGGTCAAAAGTAAAACCACATTTTCTTCCACATCATTTCTCCGAAACGCTAAAGTGTATAAACCCATTTTGTCACAACATTGAACATATTGCCAGAGATATAATGAAATAGTTCAGATCAAAGCAAATGTATTAGTTAGAATAGCTTAATCACAGTTTTCCAGTTTCCATGCAAGACTTAACATTTACTTTGTTCACAATTGCTTTACATTCAGTCAGACTGAGCTTGCAAAGAATTTTAAGAATATCACTCTTTAAATTAGAGAAGCTGCTAGAAATAAATACTTGCAGCTGTAACTGCAGCAAAAGATGAGTTGACAGAGTACCAAATCAGAGCCGATATAAATGCACATGACTGTCTTTAGATTTTCTCTTAAAAAGAAAATTGGAAAGTCGTTTCCTTTCCACTTCACAAATATGAAATACTTTGTGTTAGTCTATCACATAAAATGCCATAGACGCTGAAGTGTGTACATACAAAGTGAAGAATATGAAAAAGTCCAACAGATATGTGTGCTCTAATGTAGCAAGGCTGAGCTCAGCAACAACAGCTTCACTCACCCAGAATGTCACACATTGGACTGGAATCTGATGTAGAGGTGTTGCAAAAAACAAAATGAGTAAAAATGAATCGCTTATTGTGTAAAACTATGTGCAGTGGAAAAAATAAGCAAAATGTCATAAATTCATAGAAACTGTAGAAAAATTACATTATCAGATAAGAAGCACAAGAAGAACAAGGTTCCTAAAAACCTAAATTAAATTTACCCCATATGTGTATCATTTCACTGGACACAAGTAACAACTTTAAAATATAAGTTGTATCTGACTTACTTTGTAAAAGTTTAGTATATTAATCAAACCCATTCATTTTGATTAATGCAGTTCTGCTCTGAAAACAAGATTAGATTAATCTGTGTCAGGCTGTATGTCAACAGTCTCCTCTATCTGGGCCTTAAGTGCTATTAGTGAACAACTGAATAACCCCCTCCTCTCTCCAAAGACAACCATTATTTCCAGCTCTTTCTTTTCTTTTTACTTTCAAGATATATGATTGGCTTATGACACAGGAGCTCAAAACGATAGCGTGTACTCGTACAACACTGTAATCTAATAGTGCACATAAATTGCTTCTATAAATCACCAACATAATCATCCTCAAAAATCAACCAATGACTTAGGCGTCTGGAAGCAGCACCGAATCACTTTTTATGTCTTCAGCAGTTGAACTCCTCCCATTCCTGTTCTCACTGTAGTGGAGGCAGCATCACAGATCTCCAGCGTCAGATCAAGCCCATTGAAAACACGAGCTTCACTACAACTGCAACAGATGAAGAGACCAGATGAAGACAGATGAAGAGACCAGGAATTGAAGGAAAATGGGTGATTTATGATATGGCTTCCAGGGAGTTAAAATGTGTAGTTTTATTCCTAAAGGTAGGTGGATTCATATTTCTTATTGCTATTACCAGCACTGAGTAAAAAAGAGAATTATGTAAAAGGTGGAATGCATTAAATCACTTTTAATAGATCTTGTCTCTTTAACACAAAGAGATATTCATGGTTATTTTGTTTATACTTTTTTACTCTCAAAGGAGACACAAACTATTGACTTCTTCAGCAATCTCAGCAAAATGAAGAGACCGTTCTCTGCTGCTGTTTTCCTTTAGAGAATCCCCCGAACAGGCAGTGGGAGAGCACAGTTTCTCCTCGGCTCGCAGTGAACACAACTCAGACTATTATTTTGGACGCCACGGCTCGTCCTGATGGGCTGCCTCAACCTCACCAGCAGAAACGAGACTTTGCCTGGCAAGCAGCCCTTCTCTGTGCAGACCTCGGTGATGCTCACCACCCTGGTGGGGATGCTCATTTTACTAACCGTGTTTGGCAACGTCATGGTAGTGATCGCTGTGATGACGAGCCGGGTCCTGAAGGCGCCCCAGAACTTGTTTTTAGTCTCTCTGGCGTGCGCAGACATTCTGGTTTCCACCTTAGTGATGCCCTTTTCCCTAGCAAACGAACTCATGGGTTACTGGTACTTTGGCACAGTGTGGTGTGAAATCCACCTGGCTTTGGATGTTCTCTTTTGCACTTCATCCATCGTTCACCTGTGCGCCATAAGCCTGGACAGGTACTGGTCTGTGACTAAAGCCATCGAGTACAACCTGAAACGGACGCCCCGCAGGATTAAATGCACGATCTGCTTGGTTTGGGCGCTTGCAGCCTTGATTTCATTCCCCCCGCTCATCACAATGACAAAGAAGGAGGGAGGAAAGGACAACCCTGCGTGCAAGATCAATGAGGTGAAATGGTATATCATATTCTCGAGCATTGCATCCTTCTTTGCACCCTGTGTCATCATGATTATGGTGTATGTCCGGATCTACCAGGTTGCCAAGAAAAGAACCAGAGCCTCACCAGGAGAGCGGCAAAGAGAGAACGGCAACTTAGAGAACACCCAATTTGACATGGACCCCGGAGAAAAGCAAGAGAAGGAAATGGATGAGCTGAAAGACGGGGAAGAGGTCTGCGGGCTGGACGTGGAGGAAGAGCCGTCCTCCTCTGATGGGAATGAAAACATCCTGTGTTCCCTGATGAAGAAGAGGAGCGGGAGAACACCCAAAGCGACTCAGGTGAAACCTAAAGAAACTTGTGCAAAGGCAGAGGACCTGTCCTCTGCGAGGGCGAGCAAGTGGAAGGGAAGGCAGTACAGGGAGAGGCGCTTCACCTTCGTCCTGGCCGTGGTCGTGGGAGTGTTTGTTCTTTGCTGGTTCCCCTTTTTTTTCACCTACACGCTTGCAGCAGTTTGCGACACGTGCTGTATCCCGGAGAAGCTGTTCAAGACCTTCTTCTGGTTCGGCTACTGCAACAGCTCACTAAATCCGGTGATATACACCATATTCAACAAAGACTTCAGAAAATCATTCAGAAAAATCCTTTGCAAAAGAAACACAGGAGGTTTGTAATTAAAAAACAAAAAAGTGTGCATTATGCTTGTTTTGCAATCTGTATTACAATGTTGCAGCATGCCAGTTTAGAGTTTTGATATTGTTTAACTGTGACATTGTGGGTGGCTATTTATGAAAAAATGTTGCACATTAAATGTTCATGTTTATCATAATTATAATATTGTCATGAAGAGTACAAATTTAAAATGACACAGATGCATCAAAACGTGACTTATATCTGCATGCTACAATGGTATAGATCTCCTAAAATTTCAAAGTTTGTAAATAAACATAACTTGGCACATTATTTATTTCTGACGACTGTATAATATCCCCACAGCGGTAGTGATTCAGTAAGGGAAATTAAATGCTAAAAAGATGCGTAACAGATTTGTGACACTTTCATAATCACCTTGTCAGTGCTGGCCCAAGAATATACGGGGCCCTAATCATTTTAATTTGGGGATCCTTTTTTTAATTTGGGCCCCCCAGCCTCCACACCATTAATCTGCTATATATTAGATTTAACAGCAGTATACTTTCACAGTTCACTAGCAAACCGACAATTAAATTGACTATTTGTATTCATCTTGACCCTGATATCATTTGCTCCGTATTGGGTATTAAAGTAAAACCTGAAAATGCAGTAGGTTGCAAAACTTCAACATATTTCGTTAGGATTTCTTTTTGTTGTTGCATAATTGATAAGTGAAAGGAATAAAAAGTACAAATAAAAATCTAAGAAAGTGCAGTGTGCCTTTTAACTCTGCTATGATGTTCATTTCTGAGGTGCAGCTATAATAATATAATGTTCCTGACTCAAGTTGACCCAGGGATTTTTTAAAAAAAAATATGCACTAATGTCAGAATCCAAAAATGTTCCCCAAAACATTTTATATCTGATCAGTACTAACAATTTCAATCAATATTTACTGCAATGATGCAATTTAGCGCTTAGAAATGAAGGCTGAATGAGGATAATTCACTTGTTTTTCACAAAAATAGAACTATTTTAATTTTTAATCTCCACTAGGAAAGCCGACACAGACAAGTCAACATCAAAATTATATTTTTTGATTTTTTTTGTCAGTGTTCAGTCATTCATCTGGTGCTATGTGATCCAGTAATCGTGTCCAAGTTACCTACTCCCCCTTTGACAGTATTAAAGGATTTGTTTTCTGGTCCTTTCAGGTGATGATTTCAGCACTTTTGTGCAAAGTACTCAAGAGGACAACATTTTTTCCCTTTTTATTAGGACACTGTAAATTTTCACAGATTACATTTTGCCCCCTGAGACCATTTGCCATAGTAAGCACCGCCCTTGTACCCTGATTCTTTGGTTTTCCAATGAAAACCTACAAAGTCTATGTATAGCTAGTGTTTGGATCACATGCTGCTCATATTATTATTATTATTATTATTATTATTATTATTATTATTATTATTATTATTATTATTATTATTATTATTATTATTAAATGGGTCAATTTGACCCTCAGCATAACAGGAGGGTTAAGGTCATCTCACTTCAAATTGTAACTTTTTAAAAACATTCTTTAAAATTAGCTATTTGTGAGCATTTGTAAAGAGCATAAATTAAGATAAATCTTTATAAAAGAACCACATAAATAAATAAATAAATAAATAAATAAATAAATAAATAAATAAATAAATAAATAAATAAATAAATAAATAAATAACTTTTTTTGAGAATCAAATTTTGCTTTTTCTGGGGCCAGCCCTACACCAGGTTGCATTTCTTCAAGCACGTCAGCGATTTTGCTTTTTTTTTTTTTTTTTTTTTTTGAAAAAACCTGAAACTGACAATTTCCTTGATGGTTTCCATGTTTTCCACCTTCAACTTCAGGAAATATATTTCTTCTCGTTTTAATGCAAATGAATTTGGACAGTAAAGCCCGCTGTTGTTTATTTCAAGGTGCAGAAGTGAAAATATGCTTCACATATTTAGCAGGCTGCAGTTTTTAAAAAAACAGTCTCTGTTGACATGATTAGCTGCGATGGTGTATGACAAGAACATGGTCGATTGTTCCAATGTTTAACCCCAATAAATGACTTTTTGGCTTCTGTATTAGATGTGACTCTGCTTTTATAATTAGGCTTTGTCAAAGGAGCAGAAAAAGAAAAAAATCATTAGCTCCAATTATCTGCTGCATGATATGCAATGATTGTGGCAGCCAGGCAACTGAGCGTCTTTCACTGTGAGACCGAGAAAACAAGCGACATTGTAAATTTTCTGAAAACTATCGTACATGTCTTTTAATGGCTATACAAACAATTGTGCCCCCTCCTCACCCCCGAAGCAATCTGTACAGAGGGGGATGTTATCTCCACCCTACCAGCGAGCTCACTCCCTCATAACAAGCCCTAGAACAAGACAATTATACGAACAGAAAATTATCCCTGGGAGGGACGAGTAACACGACAGTATTGAACACAGTTTATCATGAATTATAGCCCCTCATATCAGGATATCATTAAATCCTCCCCTGGAGTCAAACAGAACTCACGCATGGATAGAAATATGAGTGTCTTCTGCAAATTACGCTGTGAGGTTAATATCCAGCAGCTTATCAGTATTTTTTTTTTTGTTCTTTGAGTGTTATCAGTGTTCCCTGTCTCTTGTCCATTTTTGCGCACTTTTCATACTGAAAGTTCTCTTTGTTTGTACTTTTTTTCACTTAGTTTTTTAGGTTCAGATTGATTTTTGTTATAGTCAATCATTTGTTTGTAACTTACAAAACATTTTTTTAGTCATGTATTATTATTATTATTTTTTATACAAATAACTGAGAGGTTCCCAGGACTTGCTTTCTGGGATTCTGGTATCGTAAGATTCCAGTGGTTCAGCCATTTCTCAAAGGCTTAAAATACAACATAATAGAATTTCCATAATATTCCATTATGAGAAAATAGTATTTGAGGTTTTGTGGCGAAGCCTAATCATGCAACATGAATGTATTTCTACAGCAGCATGAATCTTAAGGTACTCATGCAGAGAAAAAGTAGACATTTGGTCTGTTTTTGGAACAAGTTTAAATAAGCATCTGCTTATGAGAGTCTTGAGTATTAACAATATGAAATATTTAGTATTACGAGGGTTTCAAGAGAAATATATCTTGTTTGGTTCTGGCTCATTGCATATCAGTGTGTTTGGAAGAAAAAAAATAAAATAAACTGCTGTGATTAGTTTCTGAATGCCTCCTTTAATTAAAATGACTATTCTCTTGGAGTCTGCTGCACTGCTTGAGCAGCTGCATTGCATAAATTACAATTTGAAGTGCCTCAACATCAAGCAATTGGGAGATTAAAATGCCAAAATGAACATTACTGTCTTCCCCAAAAAGATTAATGAAACAGTCGTAATATAAACGGACACGCTCAGTTGGTTTGGTTCAAGCCACAAAAGCACTGGCATTATTCCAAGCCCTGCATGTTTTTAGGCTGTATTTTTTGTCTCATGTCAAATTACAGTAACTTATGCGACTTATGTTTGGTTACAAACTACAAACAGTGCTGTTGCAATAGCTAAAGTACACATGAGTCCACTTTCACTGTTTGCTGAGACAATGATTAATTTCCTTCTGCAAAGACCGCAGACCATCACGATTTATGCCCATGATGGCTCAACTTGTAAAACTATCTTTAACACTTACTCACATTTGGAGTTCCCACAGCTTTCACACAGTTTCCCTGTTAGTCCCCTTCCTTTCATAGTTCTTTTCTACTCAATCTGTATTAAAAAAAAAAAAAAAAAAAACTTTTTGCACTCTAAGAAACAACCCACTTTGTATTATTTTGCTAATAATGGGTCAAATTTGATCCAATGCAGATTAGGTTAATTTAGCTTGAAAAGATTGCCTTAGTATCATCAGATTTGACCTTTCACCTACATAACATACTTTTCTTCAGATTCCTCCAAAAAATATCCTTGCAATCCCATTTGGATTAAACCCTTAAATGTGTTTTTATTATGTTGACCACAGAAAGGAGTAGGCATTGTCACAACGACAGCTAATAGGGATCCTGAGCAAATCAACAAAGAAAACAACACATATAACATTCTTTTTTTTCTGCTAGTCATTGGCTTAGATACTAATTTGTGTTTGTATTAAAATAGACTGATCAAATGTTTGCCACCTCAACTGTGAAAACCATTTTAGTTATGATAATACATTTCTCTACAGTAATCAGTTATCCACATGTTCCGTCTTCATAGTCTTCTGTGATTTACAGACTACTTCCTCTGTGCAATCGGACATGCCCACACACTTGTTAGACCCCACCTCTGGTTGGATGATCACTACTCCTCTGGTGCATGGATGCAAGAGCTGGCTTGGACTGTCAATCTGGGTAGAAAGTTTGACTATCATGACCACAGCCCACTGACATTAGCAACAATGAGCAGATTCTCTTTGTTCTATCTTCATGTTGTGGAAGAAGTCATTGAGTGGTTCAGAACGGTAATCGGTGTGGAATGAAGACGATCCTTCTAGCTAAAAATCATGATCCAGTCCAACAAACTGGATCATGATTTTTTATTTATTTATTTTTTTTAGCCAGATGTTTGATTAAAAACCCCGAATCTCTGTCCTGACAGAATAAAGCAAACCATTTGCGTTAAAGAAATCACCCATACGCTTTTTCTGTTTGCCACACTCTCAAAGAAGTAGTTAGAGAGACATCAGATAAACAAGAGTTGTCCAGAAGCCCTAACAAGTTTAAATAAAAGCATGAGATGAATAGGCTGTTTTTAATTTAATGGTAAGTCATCTATTATTTATTAATCAGAATGCGCCAGGCACACTGGGGTATATTAGATCTCCTCCATGATAAAGACACAAGATAATATCATTTGACTCTGAGGACTGCAAGCGGCAGGAAGACCCTGTAAGATTTCATATTTCTTCCATTCCCAAGGGTTTGCTGCTGCATATAAAATTAACAATTAACCCGGTTTTTAATTGTGTAAGACACCTGTGAAACTGGAGTTGTTGTTGTTTTGTTTTTTATTTAGAAATAACAGACATCATAGTATGACTTCTAAAATATAGATTTGGCTGTCTCCCCCTCTACGCCCCGAGACCCCCAAAAAATACATGATTTGCATAATATTTTTTCTTTTACATTTTTCATTTACCATGCACTTGGCCTCTGTTAATTCACAAAGAAATCTTAATTCGCCTTAGGTCATCTTCTGATTGACAATAACCCCTAACAGGCCCAGTGGAGACAGTGTACCCCAGTGCTTTCATGTATTTTTTTTTTTTTTTGCACCTCTGCATAATTTGAATATTTCCACAATCCTGAGCAGTTCTTACAAAACAGTTTCCCTGCAGGGATCAGCGAGGTTTTTCTGAATCTGATTAAATCTTCAAGGACTCCACAACCAAATGTTTCTTGTCTGCTTTGACTGGAGGCCACTCTTGATCTCCAGAAGAACACCTGGGGGACCAGAGGACCTCACTGGGAATTCAAAGAGCCAGAATATGTGGATGGCACAGAATTTGGAATAAGAAATCAAACATCTCGGCATTTTAACAAGCCTGTAATATGCTAAGTTAAAGGTTTTCAGTCTTGTTTTAGTTTGTTACCCAGATTTAAAAAGGACGGTTGTGTCCTCATGCTGCTATGGCTTCTTCTTTGCTTTCTGCCCAAAATGCTTTTTTGGAAAAGTATGGCAGACCACAGAGGTGATGTGGTTAAACAAACCTTAGTGCCACATAATCCCCTCCTTACATTGTATAAACAAAAATAATGAACAAAACTCTACGCTCCTATGTTATGAAGCTGCGGGGGAGTTCTACCTACTACAAATGGCCACTAATTTCAGTAGGAAAAAGCTGATTAAATAAGGTAAAACTGCATAACGCATGCAGGAGTTATTTGAAAAAATTATACAAGCTGAGTACTCTTGGCAAGTTACTTAGCATAAAATGGTATAAGCACAGGAAGGTGTCAATTTTATATGGAGGAGAAACCAAATTACCCCCTGGGCAGCTGTGAATGTATTCTACTGTAATACTACGAGCCATAACACATTTCAATGACTCAAGAGCAAGGAGAAAATGGAGCAAGTCTTCCGAGAGGTGATGATCTACATGGTGGTGGGTGTGAAGGTAAGACTGCCTTAATCCACAGCAAAACTCACAACTTCAACTCCTTGAAATTAAAATGAAACTTGATATGCGCAACGCTAGCATATCGTTTTAACCAGGAGACACTTTACTAAAATATTCACTGACTAAACATGTAGTCAACAGACTATGATTAAGCAAGGGGTATGCAAAACCCAACCAAATCTGAAAGTTAAACTGAAAAGGACAACTAACGTATTAGTATAATCCATGATCTTAAAAATGGATTGACCAATAAATAAATAAATAAATAAAT